GTAAAATAATGTCTTTTCACCTGCTTTTCACCTGATTGTACCCCTTCCAACTGAAGACAAAAGCCAGTTGTGTGTTGGGTGGGGTTTTTTGTCTAGTGTGAAAGGGGCTTAAGAAGAGGTCTAAGTTTTAAATCAAATTACATCAATCGGGTTCAATAGTTGGTGAGAGAGACCTGACCTGTAGTTTTGATTTCAGATCTGGTTTTTATTTGTCAATTTAAAGCATGCTAATAACATAGACCATACTGGTTTGAATTTCACTGATGAGACAGTACTTGTACGTCACATGGTACCAACTGTGCCCTGGATCACCTGAATACCAAATAGGTATCGGCTTTGGATAAGCAGACCTTCCTATTACTGTATCTCAGAGATTTCTTTATATTTTTAAATGCACATTGATGTCTTTTAGAGTAACTGCAGACAATCAGGGACACTTTAACCAAGTTTCTCCATAAACTAAGTACACACAAAGGTTAAACTTGCACTGAAATGGTTCTTGAAACAATTTAGTGAAAAGCAGGGCCCCTTCTCCATACCAAAACGACCCTCTCTCCGTTTCCCTTCCCTCCCTCCTCATTCCCCTTCTTCCAATTTCAACACCTCATCCCCTCTCCCTCTCTCTGCATGCAGCTGAGAAAATAGCCCCGTTGCTTGTAGCTGGGCCTTAACGCTGGGCTCCAGGTCAATTTCCCTGGTTTCCTGACACCGTACACCACCAACAACCAGATGGATGGAGGGGGAGAACCGGACGACAAGAGAGAGAGAAGAGAGAAAGAGAGAACAAGAGCAATACAACACAGGAGACACTGCAAGAGGGAGAAGGGAAAGGAGAAACAGAGGAGAGAGAAAGAAAACCCCCAGAGATTTCAAAGATTTGAGCTTCCACCATCTGGTTTGGGCTTCAGGAATAAGAATTTGATTACATGACTTTTCCCCTAAAAACACAGAGGAAGGATTGTTGAGAGAACTGCTGCTACAGCAAATGAAACTGGTTAGAGTCCAGGTCTGTACATCCCCAGAGTATTTCCTCATGGGGAAATAAATGACGTACATAATTTGGACTGGTCTCACATGTCTCTAATTACGCATGATACACA